AAAATTGTAAAAAAAAATAAAATAAAAAAAGGAAAATACAAAAGGTAACATCTAGTTGTATTTCTGGTTCCTCTTCCAATAATTCAGAGAGTATACACTGTGTTGATGAAAGGATAATGCTAGATAAAGTTTGTTTTTACATTTTGTTAAGAGCACACAAAGAGAATTTTTAGTTACATCAAAGATTATAAATACAGGTGTCTAGTTTAGAGATTCCCCTTCAATGTATTATTGTGTTGCTGTCAGTTACTACTGAGTTAAATATGAATCATAGTAACCCTATGAACAACAGATCTGAACCCTATCCTATCCTGTGCCAACTTCATTATTTCTGACATATCTGAGCCTATTGCTATAGTCACTGTGTCAATCTATCCCATCGAGGTTCTTCTTCTCTTTTGCTGACCTTTCTAATCATGATGTCCATCTCCAAAGAATAATGTTTAATAAGTTTGGATGACATGTTTTTTTCTTTCTTTTTGGACTGCTTTGGCCCTTTACTTTCCAATTTTTTACTAACATGTGAATCAGTTGGTGATATTTTTAAAAGAAAGAAACTGATTCCGTAGTACACAGTCTTTGCAGAAGAACATGATGCTTGGAAGGATGGAGGGACAATATAGGAGAGAAAGACTCCAGATGAGATGAAATGACATAATAACTGGATTAATGAGAGTAGGTGTGTCAGGGACAGTGAGATTGGCTTAAGATAGGTCGGGGTTCAGAGCTTTTTTGCATAGGGTTGCTATGAACTGTGTTCAGTTGACTAGATAGCACATAACAACAACAATTTAAGAAATGAAAATTTCCAGGACTCATCCCAAACTTACTACATCAGCAACTCTGTGGCTTAGGCTCTATTTTTAGAAGCTCCAGGTGAGACATATTCAATTGTCTAGAGTAAGCACTATCATATCTGACTTCCCATTAGAACCATCTGAGGAGTATGCAAAAGTTTCAACATTAATATCATCTCCAAGGAGCCCTGGGACAGCAGTGCACAATGACTGCTCATTGAAAGGTAGGCAGTTCAAGTTCACCAGAGTCTCCTCAGGAGAAATATGAGCCATCTCCTTCAGTAAAGATGCACAACTTTGGAAACTGATTATCACTAAGACTGAACATTTTCAATGGCAGTGGGTTGGGTTTGGTTTGGTTTTTTATCATCTTCTGTATCAATTTCAGAGTTTTTAGGTGCCATAAACACCATCAGAGTCTCTAAATCGCTCCAGGTGATTCCAACATATGAACAAAACTCAAAACCTTTGTCTAGAAGCAAGGTAGCTCTGATGGCCTTGTGTGCAGGGAATTACACTGTCAACCTTAAGGTCAGCAATTCAAATCTACCAACTACTCCAAAGGAGAAAGATTGGTATTCTTCTATGCAATTTGTAGCCTCTGAAAGTCCACTAGAGAGTCAGGTAGGAATTGTTTTATACTCAATGACAGTATTTTTAAGGGTCTTTTTTTTAAGGACAACTTTTTATTGTTACTAGAGGTTTTCATCACCAATGGTTGTGATTGCAATACCTTCTTTAGATTGCACAAAGAACTCAGATCCAGACGTCACTAAGAGAACATAGGTAGACTGAGGAGGTGTGGAAATAACTTTTATCAAGAGTGTTCTAATAACAAAGTTTGGGTACAGAATTACTACATTTTACAGTCTCAGATCATAAACTGCCTCAACATCTAAACAGTCATTCTTATTGATTATTAAATGAGAGAAAATCGTCACAGTTAGAAAATCTCATTTTAGTAGTTTACATACATATTTCTTTGGTGAGTACCTGAATATATTAACTTTATCACAAATTATTTTATACAATGTCAAAAATGATTTCAAAAAATCTAAGATTGTCCTAGTAACATGTTACTTATAACTTTCACTCTAAGATAAAAATAAAAGCACTTACTTTGTTTGACTCTGGAAACTAAAATAAGACAAACAAAATTAATGAGTAGTTTCTATTACCACCTTTGATTCACACAGGGCAATTTTGAAATAACTTTTAGGCTTATTTGAATCATGGGTTAAACATGATAGTCATATAATTTCTTCACTAAATCACTAAAAATATTTTTGGGAGTTTTCTACTTAGTAGTGGTTTTTAAGGGTTCTTAAGTCAAGCAATTTAAAATTCCCTCATTTGGAAGCAAGAGTGGCATCCTCTTCCTAAACAACATGCCTCTGGAAACTATGAACTTTGGTAAACAACAGTTGTTATAGAGAAGCCTTATGTTCATAGGGTTACTATGAGTCATGTTCGACTTGACAGAGTCAACAACATTTGGAAGGAAGAGGGGCCCAACTGGTTAGAAATACAATGTAGACATCTCAGCTGATAACTGGTACCTGATGACCTGGTTCTATTCCACAGTATCACTATGAGTTGGAATCACCTGAACAAAATGAGTATGTGTAGGTTAATGACCCTGGATGGGGCAAACAATTTTCACTCCACAGCTAACTTAACGTCTGTAGATTTGAACCCACCCAGTGGTACCACAGCGATCTTTCTCCATTAAAATTATAGTAAAAAATACCCAGTTTTCAAGAATCCAGTTCTAAAGTGAAGAAAACAGCTCGACCCATGGGGGGTGTCGGGTTGGTGGTGTACTGTATAGTTGGAACTGACCCATAGCTGACCCTCTGGCAAATTTTCAGAGGCAGTTAATCCCATGAGAGGAGACTTCTCATTCTTCTCCAGTGGAGCAGCTGGTGCCCTCAAACAGTGTGTCTTTGGGATTGTAGTGCAGCTTCTGGCCACTAGGTCTGTCACTATCATTCACTATTTCTTCTTCTGCAATGAACATCAAGTGGAGTTCCTGGCTGGCCAAATGTGGAGCCACTTGGCTACTGACCAAAAGGTTGAAAGTTCAAATTAACCTAGAAGCATTTTGGAAGAAAGGCCTGGCAATGTACTACTAAATAAGTAGAGAGATAGGCAGATGGACAGATAGATAAACCAGCTGTGTTGTTGTTGTTGTATGCCATCAAGTTGGAACTGACCCATAGCTCATTCTGCAGCTGGTTCTCAGAGGGAGTAAATGACATGGGAGGAGGTTGGCCATCTTTCTCCCATGGAACCGATTGAAGCCATAGTTAACCTATAGAGCAAGGTTTTAATATATGTCAGCTGGTGTTGAAGTGAGGACAATTTGAAAAATGGCAGGTCATGGTAATTTCTCAGTAATTATTAACTCAATTTTTCACTACCAAGGAAAATACAGTTTTTCAATTATTCTGTTTTCAGTTAAGGATACTAAAATATCACAAGGTGACATAGCCACCAAAGTTGACAAAAATAAAAATTCTAAATCAAACAGCTCAGATTCAGAAACCACGTTAATAACCCTCTTATGCTGTGTGTCCTGTGAGCAAAATTACATTTTGAACTTTCCCAAAACTCTTTATAGCCAAATATGTTACTTCTTATGTCTCTTAATATTTTTCAATGGTTTAATACATAAACCTATGGTTCTTCATTGTTAGATCCAACATAATCAGCATGTACACATCTTACCAGTTATTGCTGTTGTCCCCAAAAAGGATATGGACAAAAAATGACACAGGTTTAAATGGTGTAAACTTAAGCTGGCAGGTAAGCATGGGATTAATTCCCTTGCAAGAGCCTTCAATAAAGTTGCCATTTGGAAACGATACAGTAAGAGGGATATTCTCATTATCTTGACTGAGTGTCTTTGTGACGATCTGGACATTTATTTTTGAATCCCTGTTTAAAATTTAGGAGAGAGAAAATTATTTTAGCTCAAAATAACTGCAATAAATTATTTTAAATGTATACTTGTTTGTTTATAAAAACGTAAAACAATAATACATCTATTTATCAAATTATCAAATTTCTTCATATCATCTCTTATTTTATGATGACAATATAAAATTGATAGTATATTCATTAACTATGAACTGCATAAGAAGGATAAAAAAGGAAAAATCAAATGTTGCTGCTGTTGTTGTTGTTATGTGCCGTCGAGTCATTTGCGACTCATAGCTACCCTATGCACAACAGCCCTAAACCCTGCTCTATCCTGTGCCAATCGCACTGCCTCCGACACACCCATCCCGATTACCCCAGTCACCGAATCAATCCATCTCACAGAGGGTCTTCCCCTCCTGCGCCGTTCCTCCACCCTCCCAAGCATGACGTCCCTCTCCAAGGACCCGTCCCTCCTGGCAACATGTCCAAAGTATGTCAGATGAAGCCCCAGAATCCTTGCCTCCAAGAAGTTGCTTGGTTTAATCCTCTCTAGGATGAATCTGTTTGTTTTCTTGGCAGTCCATGGTACATTCAATACTCTTCTCCAGCACCACAGCTCAAAAGCATCAGTTCTCCTTCTATCCTCCCTAGTCATTATCCAACTCTCTGATGCATAACAAGTGATTGCAAAGACCATGGCCTGTAATACCTACCCTAAATATACTGCGCTTTTAACTACACTCAAACATTGAAATCCTTAAAGACATACTTTGGACATGTTTCAAGGAGGGACCAGTCCTTGGAGAGGTATGTCATGCGTAGGAGGTGAAGGGACAGCACAAAAGAGGAAGACCTTCAATGATATGGACTGATTCAGTGACTGGGGTAATGAGAGTGGGTGTGTCAGAGATAGTGAGATTGGCATAGGACAGAGCAGGGTTTAGGGCGGTTGTACATAGGGTCACTAAGAGTCGCAAGCTACTCAACAGCACAGAACAACAACAAAGTAAATTCTGACAATAACAAACTAATTCATTTTCACTGAGATGGAACCAACTGATAGCTGACCCTCTGTTGGGTTTAAGAGATTACTCTTCTTTTTCTCAAAGAGTCATGAAAGATAATGTGGCCATTGGGTTGGCAGTGAAATAAAGTGCTCAAAAATTACAATGTTAAAAGATAAAGCTTTAATATATGTGATGTAAATAAGAGTAACAGATCTTTACAAGCTTAGTTTTTAAAAATTTGAATACTGTGTAAGCATACATCTGCATGTACACTTACATACATCTGAAACAACATGTATCATTTTTCAATCACTACTTTTTTTTTACTTCTTGAAGAGGCAACTTAATATTTACATATCAGGATATGGTCTTTGCAATCACTTGTTATGCATCAGAGAGTTGGACAATGACCAGGGAAGACAGAAGGAGAATTGATGCCTTTGAGCTGTGGTGCTGGAGAAGAGTATTGAGGGTACCATGGACTGCTAAGAAAACAAACAGATTCATCCTGGAGAGGGTTAAACCAGGCTACTCCTTGGAGGCAAGGATTCTGGGGCTTCGTCTGACATACTTTGGACATGTTGTAAGGAGAGACCGGTCCTTGGAGAGGGACATCATGCTTGGGAGGGTGGAGGGTAATTGGGATGGGTGTGTCAGAGGCAGTACGATTGGCACAGGATAGAGCAGAGTTTAGGGCTACTGTACATAGGGTCGCTATGAGTCACAAGCGACTCGATGGCACATAACAACAACATAACATAATTCTTTCACAAACCTAAAGTATTTCTTATTTTAAGTAATATATGTAGTACTTAGTTTTAAACGTAATTTATATTCAAGAATTCTTTAGTGTTCTCTATTTAACTATGTTATTTTGTCTGATTTCTTATATATGTATTTTCCTTCAGTAAATGATAAGTATTATAAATATTTCCTGGATGGTGAAGAGGTTGAGACTGTTAACAGCTTAATTTGCTTGGCTCCACAATCAACACTCTTGCTACCAAAAGCCAGGAAATTAAAAGACCTCTCTAAAGTACTGAAGAGCAAAGATGTCAGTATGGAGAATAAGGTGTGCCTGATCCAGGCCATAGTCTTTGCAATTACTTGCTATGCATCAGAAAACTGAACAATGATTAGCTATGCTAGAAGAATTGATGCCTCTGAGCTGTGGTGCTGTATTGAATATACCAGGGACCGCTAGCAGAAGAACAGATTCGTCGTAGAGAGAGTGAACCCAGGCTGCTCCTTGGAGGCAAGGATTCTGAACCTTCATCTGACATACTCTGGACATGTTGCAAGGAAGGATCAGTCCTTGGAGAGGGACGTCACTCTTGGGAGGGTAGAGAGACAGCGCAAGAGAGGAAGACCCTCCATGAGATGGACTGATTCAGTGACTAGGGATATAGGGTAAGTGTGTAAGAGATAGTAAAATTGGCACAGGATAAAGCAGAGTTTAGGGCTGTTGTACATAGGGTCGCTATGAGAAACAAATGACTTGATGGCACAAAACAACACAACAAGAATTATTATTTTATAATGAATAAAGAGTATTGAACTAATTAGAAAAATTAAATATGGTGAATTGGATAAAATATAGAAGAGTAATTTAAAAAGGCAGGCTTGATCTCAAATCTATTGCTGATAATCTAAATCTAATGAGATGAATCATTAATGCCATAGACTTTACGAATACATAATGAGAGGATTGAGTTGCATCATCTCTATAGTCCTCCTTTTGTCTTGTGCAAGACGACTTTTGACTTGAAGTGTTTTTTTAAATCTTTATACATTAATATGTAAATTTAAAGATTAAAATATTAAATCAAACTTTACACTAATTTTTCTGACCAAAACAACCCATGACAACAATGTTTTCTAACAAAATATTTTCTTTTTGAAACTTAATCCATTACCATTTCGTATTTAACTAACAGGTTCATTTTTTCTTATAAGATACCAGTCAATTGCCTTGGAGTTGACTCTGACTGATTGTGACTACAAATATGTTAAACTGTGCCAGTCTTTAGAAATAGATCAGAACATTCGTCGAAGGCATCTCTGGGTAGATTTGAACTGCCAACCTTTGGGAAGCCAGGATTCTCAAGGCTTTAATCTTTGTAGAAACAGACTGCTATATATATCTCCCATGGAGTGGCTAGTGGATTCAAACCTTCAGAGAAGCACAGCCTTTGAGTTAGCAGTGACATTTTGGTTGGCAACTAAGTGTTTTAATCACTATGCCACCAGAGCCCCTATCATATATGGAAGAGATTGACATTAAATTTCATTCTACACCAATCTTACCATTTTGTTTATAAACAAAGGCTCAGAAAGGTTGGAAATTTTATCCAAAGTCACATATTCAGCATAGTGAAGTAAGAGTCACTCAACAAAGCCAGAGATTTTTGCATTCCTATTCTTATTTTAGGGAGCTCTGGTAACCTAGTGGTAAGAAACTGCTGCAATCCTGGAGCCATATGGTCAAATCCACCAGTCGTTCCACTGGAAAAGGAGGGGCAATCTGCTTCCTATGCAATTAACTGACTGAAAACTCACTGGAGGGTCAGCTATGGATAAGTTCTAACTTGCACCAAAAACAATGCTTTTTTTTTACAAAAACAATTCTTATTTTGGTTCTAGTATTTTAGTTTTGGAAGAGAAGTACATAACATGTCAGGATGCTAATCTAAAAGTTAATGGTTCTAGTCCACTATGGGAAGTCTCTTCCCATCAAGATTTCTAGCCTTAGAACCCCAAGGTAAGGCTGTTATTAATCAAGATCTTCTCAAAAGCAGTGGAATGTAGAGTCCTTATTTTGAAACACCTTGCAGATATAATAAAGATCCTTACATAGTTAAGCAAGTGAGCTCTTAAAAACAAAAAAGAGCAAAAACCCAACAAAAACAAAAAACACCAAAACAAAACAAAACAAAACATCCTCTTGGAGCTCTGTAACCAAAACAAAAAACAACCTCTTGGACCTCAGAAACAAAGTAAAAAAGACACTCTGCTGCTATCCTGACCTGGAGTAAGATGTCATACTGTCATAAGAGAAGTAAAGGGCTAAAATATGAGTAAACTCTAGATAGTAGACAACAATCAATGAGGCCTCAACTATATAATACTCAACTCTATTCATTGTAGTCAAGTCAGAATGAACTTATATCTGACGCTTCATTGGGTTTCTAAAGTTATAAATCACACAGAAGGAGATGGCCCATCATTCTCCTGTGGAGTTGCTGGTGGATTAAAAACTTCAGAGAGGCACAGCCTTTGGTCAGAGCCACAGTGTGACACCCTATAGACTACTCCTAGCTGATCTTTATTGGAGTTCTGAAATTGGAAATGGCAAAGAGGGAGATTGCCCATCTTTCTCCTGAGGAGCTGCTGGTAGATTTGAACTGCCAGAGAGGCATGACCAGCAGTGTAATTCCCTACAGAATACTCCATCAGAGTTCGCTGTTAAGACTGTAATTGCAAGGAAATTAATTTTGCCAACAACCTGAGAACCTGGGAGATCTGGAGTTTCAGATGAGACCAGAGCTCCAGTTTATGCCTTCATTTTTGCCAATTTAAAGCCTCAGTGAGGACATAAGCCTAGAAAGCTGAACCACAGAAATTGACATACCAATCTGTATTGTTTATGATACAACATTGTAGTAACATGTAACCCCAAAATACATGGCATTTTAAAGTGTAGACTTTATACAACAAAGAGAAACAAAAAACTTAATAAGAAAATTCAATGGCATAATCTGAAGGGAGTTGTGCTGCTAATCCAACAGCAGTACAACTCTGCCATTTCAAGTTCACCAACAGCTCTGTGGTAGAAAGATGCTGAATCATGACTCGATGTGATTTACAGTCTCTGAAAACACACTTGATTTCAACTTACCAGATTTCAAATTAACTTTGGTTATTTTTTAAAGACAGATAAAATCTAAGTGGATTGAAAAAAAATTTTTATTTAAATATAGTCAACATTTTGATGGTTCTTTCTAACTG